AAAAAAACCGAGCTCACACGGAATAGTCCGAGGTAGCGAACCAATCAGATTGCTTAAATCACCAAGATCACTGAGTGTGTATATACTAAATGTATATATTTACTGGTACGGGGTTGTCGCTTACAAGCAACAGTCGCACATGGAAGTCGAACGTTATAATAGAGAAAAGGGGTTTAAAACTCATATATGTGCTCTGCTGCAGAACTTAGATTTAATGCCTTTCATTCGTGGTCTATATTTTATTTTTTCTGGCTGTTTGTGTTTTTAGCTCGTTTAGTCGGAGGACAGACACCCAATGAAGGACTGGTACAAGTTTATCATAACAACACTTGGGGCTGGGTGTGTGCAGATCATTGGGACAAACGAAATGCTGATGTGGCTTGCAGGATGATGGACTTTGACGGATCATTATTATTAAATTTCAGTTATATAGAAGATGATAAGACAAATTTCAAGGTTTGGCTCAACAAAATGAATTGTTCTGGAAATGAAAGTTCTTTTTTTGAGTGTGTTCACGACGGTCTAGGATTACAAAACTGTGAAGGGATGAGGAAAGCTGGTGTAATTTGCCGATCAAAAGGTAACATAGCTAGCTAAGGAACTAAACTGTACAAGTATTTCCTTTTTGGCAATGGCATAAACGATACAATTCGCGCTTATCCGACTCCATATACGCTGTAAAATCCTCTTTCACTATATAGTTTTAAGAGGACCATAGTTTCTCCTCTCAATGCGTAATTTTAAAAATTACTTGCATTACGTCACTGCGAACGATTGTGACAGGGATTGTAGCCTGCATGACAGGCGCTTTATGAGCCAAGCGGGGCGAACGCGATATTTCGCGCGGAGCGCGACACGAAATTTCGCTCGACCACTAGACCCTACAAAAGTGCTGCTACATGTATATGGCCTTGGTTTGCTTTTCTTTTTCGCTTAGAATAGTTCACTACGCTTGCAATAACAATGGAGTCATGGCCACCATCACAAGCTTATTGTAAAATCTTCATTTTTAATCCCAGTCTTTGTTTTTGTATTGACATAACTTTGTGGTTTTATTTAGATGTCTGTTTCAAACTAAAAAAGTTTTACATTTGTTTTGCCGATATAAGTGCGATTTTACTTCATAAAGTCATATTTTCACTTATCGACTCCACCTTGCATGCAAATGCGGGCTCATGGGGGATACGGTTTTTGTACAAATTGGTTATTATTTCTTTTGAGAAGTCTAAAAACCATAATTCTGTGAGTTTCGAACAATACATGCATGTACCGCAGTGTAAGGCAAAATGGTTCCCAGCCATTTTCTGGTCCTGGGAACATAATTGTTTCAAACGCTATTAAATATTCAGTTAAGTTTTCTTTTCACCGCAGTTCGATTGGTTAGTGGAGGTAATGTGTTATCGCAAGGCCGAGTGGAACTGTTCTATAATGGAACATGGAGAGCAGTGGATAGGTGGAACTGGAAATTAAGGGACGCCAATGTAGTTTGCCATCAACTTGGTTTTGGAGGAGCTCAATCTGCATATATACAGTCGGGTTTTCGACGGAGAAGAAAAATGTGGTACTATTTTTTACGATGTATAGGGAATGAAAGTTCATTAACAGACTGTGGACAGAGTGTGTGGAGATCCACTTCCTCTAGTTTTCGTTCCGCCGGTGTGGCATGCAGAACAGGTAACAAACGATATAAAACAGTTAATCTTTCTATTAAATTATTTTGCCAAGATTTTTATTTTCTGCACGAGGTAAAAAATATTTACCTATCGCAAGACAAACAATCAAACATAAATAAACACTAGCTTGTTTCTATTCTATCCATCAGCTCGTTTGGGGGAAGGACGGCAATCCCCCCGAGAAGGACTGGTACAAATTTATTACAACAACACTTGGGGCTGGGTATGTGCTGATCATTGGGACAAAAAAGATGCTGATGTGGCTTGCAGAATGATGGACTTTAGCGGATCAGTGTCTGCGTTTTATGACAGCAAAAAAATTATACAGACAAAATCCGCTGTGTGGCTTACTAACATGCAGTGTACTGGAAACGAAAGTTCTCTCTTTTTATGCAAACATGGCGGTTTGGGATCTCATGATTGTAAGGCAAAGGCTGGTGCAATATGTCGACCGAAAGGTAAAACGAAAACCCAAGAAACCTAGGTAAAAGAAAATTAGGGCAACGTAAAACAAAAAATGGCAAATATCTTTTCGAACTTTTCATATTACTTGGTTTGGAAATTTCAGTAATTTTAGTCATGAAGTTGTACTCTCCTCTCATCATAATCATCTTCATCATCGATCATTTACCGTTGCCTTGGCCAAAGAAATAAATTAAATATGTAGTAATAGAAATAAACTCAATAATTAAGATATATAGTTGAGGTAAACAAATGGTATAACTTATTTGTTTCTTAATGTGATTGTGTGGCAGATGTTTATCAACTTTTAAGAAATCTTCACGGGGTAAACTAATCTCCCTTCCACAATTATATAAAACCCCTCCTACAATAATTATATAAAATCCCCTTCTACAATTATGTAAAACTCCTCATACAATTATATAGTACTTGATCACGTCATTACTCTAGAATGTGGCGATACATAACTCTACTCTAGATTTTACAGTTCATTTTGACTAGATGTACTTCACCCCCTTTCTCTCATACAAGTACATTATTATACCCTGTCGACCTACTCGGAAGAATATTGTCGTTGTTTGAATTGATTGCTCGTGTGTGCAGGTAAAGGTCGATGTCTTTTGTATTTCAACCGCCACACTTAACAATACCAGCCTAATAAACTTTCCCTGAATGTACAGTTCGATTGGTTGGTTGGGGTGACGATTCGTCTCAAGGCCGAGTGGAAGTGTATGTCAATGGAACCTGGGGAGGAGTGTGTGCACACAGTGGCAACTGGGACTTAAAGGACGCCAACGTAGTCTGTCGTCAACTTGGGTTTAAGAGAGCCGTTGCAGCTGCTGCATCCTCGGATTACCCACAAAGAAAATTGATACCTAACCTACAGTGCAATGGAAATGAGACGTCATGGACAAAGTGCGAGCATGTGGTGTCTCCCGAAGGCGCCTACTGTTCCTACAACTACGGCGCGTGCGTGGTGTGCATTACAGGTACTACCAATAGTTATTATGGTGCAGCCTAACGGGGTCAAAATAGTTGCTATCAGCCTAAGGCTGAGTATAAGTATTTTAACAGTAGATTGAAACAAAATCCAACAGCTAAATAACAAAAATAGAAAAGATAATGAAAAATTCTTCTTTCTCTCTAAACTTTGATTGAATTCATTTAAAATAGTGGTGATTTCGCTACCGTCGCATCTTAACTGCAAGACACAGTCATTCGCACAGACTGAAGCGAAAACGATAATTTTTCATGAGACCAAACAAAAGCTCTTTACACAGAAATCTCATTTTGGTTTGGAAGTTTAAATGATGCCTATAGAAAATATACAGGTCGGAATTTAGATCAGATGGTGCTCGAAACATTTCTTTTTGCGCACAGTTTGCATGCCGGCTTACAAAGTGGCCGGACCAAGGAACCACTGGACGGACCAAGGGCCTTCAAATGGAGCGATCATTTTCTATTATGTAGGATTTTCGGCAAAGCTCACAGAAGCTTTCGGTTTGTCACAAGTAAGTAAAATGTGACGGCAACTTACAGGACATTTTTTTTTCACAGTTGTCGCCTTTTTCTTTTACCTTTAACTTTAAACGGCCCGTGCACAGTACACGTTAAAGATACCGAAAAAGTAACACCCCCCTCCCCCCCGAAATTAGCGACACTCCAAAAGTAGCGGTAGGAAAAGCCTGCTAAATCCTAGCCTGTTCCAGGCGTTCAGATAGTGGGGAGCGGTGCGAAGTAAAAAGGAGCAAAAAAAAAATAAAAGCGAGGGTGGAGGAGAGCTCCCCAGTCCCCCTCTACTTTTCATCGCTTTCTTTACTTCGCACCGCTCTCCACTATCTGAAAGCTTGGAACAGGCTAGCTAAATCCGAATTTAAGTAACGAGGGTCGTTACTTACAGATAGGAAAAAATTAAGCAAACAGAGGCACTACAGTCAAGATGACTTAATCCGGCCTTTATGGAGTTTTTTGTATGAGAAAAATTGATGTCGAGTGATTTCAAATTAATTGTTTAAAAGTAAACGAAAAGGGAAGTAAATGACAGTTTTTAAACTTGCTTTCAGAAAAAGGTCAGTACACCAATTCATCAGACGAAAAAACAACGCAGTCGAAAGGTATGTCTGATCTCACAATTTGTCAAGTGATTCAAATTAATTGTTTAAAAGTAAACGAAAGAGGAAGTAAAATGACAGTTTTTAAACTTGCTGTCAGAAAAAGGTTAGTACATCAATTCTCTGGCATCAAACGAAAAATCAACGGGGTCGAAAGGTATGTCTGATCTCACAATTGGTCATTCGACAAGTGTGACAGTTTTTAAACTTTCTTTCAGAAAAAGGTCAGTACATCAACTCACCAGACGAAAAAACAACGAAGTCGAAAGGTATGTCTGATCTCACAATTTGTAAACAAATACTAATTTGGAACAAACAATAACGGCTAAAAATTAAAGACCGTCATGCTAGCAAATATTAGCTGAAATTAAAATGTACGACTGTGACCAATATTGCTGTTACCAGAAGTGCTTAATTATATCTGGAGTGGTGTTGATTAATACTTCAGACTTTTACTAGGTTCTGTGTGATTTTAGTAAAAACCCAGTAGTTGTCTATTATCAATGCTGCGTTCTGATTGGTTGAGCTACTACTAGGCTATATGTTATAGCCCACTGGTAGTAAAAAGCACCGGCTTTTCAGCGGCAAAGAAAAAAATTAAAACCTTAGGCCTCATGAGCTATTGACTCAGAGCCCATTCGGGCTCGCGGAATAATTGTTAATTAACCTAAGTTATAATCATGATGGACTTAGACAATCATAGGTTAAAAAGGTCATTATCTTTTGGTGTCTGATGGTTATTATTTGTTAACAATTAGGACCCCGGCGCAATGTTAGTTACACTCCAGTGTGCTTTGGAACAAAAGATGATCAGTTTGGTAGGTTCTTTGTTCCATCAAGTGGCAAATTGGCTGCCCTGAAGTTGGTTCACCTCTACGGTTACGTAACCTGTGACCAGAAATCGAATGTTCGCTGGTCTTACTGGGGCTGTGCTGGACCGGAAGTAAACGTTGTGGTAACAAATTCGACCAACCACGTACTTCTCCCTGTAAACGAGTTTAGCTCTACTGCGGCAACAAAGTGGTTCAGGATTCCGGGATACGACTCACTCTCTCCTGAGCTTGTTATGTCAGTTCTGTCCCGTCCTCCCTGGGTGACCTCTGGCGAAGAATTGAGGCTGTGGAACGGGGAGGATTTGGTGAATCGAAGTGAAACCGACAACGGAGGAAGGGTGTGCTGTGATGTGCACGCTCTTTTTTCTGAAACTCGAGTGTTTGCTTCGATGGAAGGTTTTAAGTCAAAAAAAAAAAAAATTCACAAACGTGTAATTTGAAGGAAAAGTCAGTATGTAATTCTCTTGATTGTTGAATAAACTAAAATGACATTTGTGCAAAAAGGTAAATAAATTTAAAAAAATATATGTATTTGCCTTGGCTCAAAATATAACATAAAATGCCTCAGTCAATTCCAGGCGTCCCTATCCGATTTTATCCACCGATGTCAAAGTTCTGAGTCCCAGAAGTTGTTTTTTATTTATTATCATATAGTTACAAACAGTGGAGAAATTCACATTTTTTTATAAACCACTAATTAGTTACCACTCTTCGAACACTTTAAAATAAAGCTAATCGAGCAGATAAATAGACTGGCAACGAAATTTTGCGATAACAGAAGGTTACGCTCCTCAATTGAATCTGGCTTTGTTATACTCCCTGTCTATGGACGGGCACGCTTAAATTGACTGAGTTTATAGTTAATGTAAGTAAAAACTTCGCTATCATAAATACAAATAAAAGCTTGTGATAAATATAATTACACGACACAGAATCTGGTGTTTTTATTCCGTCCCTTACTTTAAAGGCAAAAACCGAGGTCTGAAGAACGTTCTAGCGTATTCCTGACTACTGTACCATGTGACCTTTCTGCTAATTTGACCATAGTTCCTAGACCCTTTAGTTACTAGTCAGAGGAATTTTTATGGCCGTAAAAGCCGGAAAATCTATAAGGTTACAGTTTATGTTCAGGGCTCCCTGACCGTACACTTTCTTAATTCGTTCTTACTTTATAAACTATAAATGAGTTATTTAACGAAGGTTTTGCGATTCGCCATTTAGTTCAACATGATTGGAAGGCTTTTGCTTGTAGTGCACTTTCATGATCGAAAAAAAGCAAACAACGACATATAGCAAAGAAGCCTATCGGGCTTCCTAACCATCGCACTCAGTTATAAAATATCTCAGTCAGTTATACCGAAAGTAGTTTAAAAGGTTACGCAACATATAACCACGGAGAGATGTTAAAAGACTTTTTAAGCTTTCTGGCTTGTGTGGGCCGTTTGACGGCTGACGGCTCAACTTCGTTATCAACCGGTGCTGAAGCTAAAATGCTGCTAAATACGCAGACGTTCAGTTATTTCTTCCAAGCAATATACCGTGTTTCCTCGAAAAAGCGCCCACGCTGTAATAGCGCCCTTTACCAAATAACGTCCCACCCCCAAGGCCAATCGAATAAGCGTCCTGACCTCCCCTCCCCCTAACCTTCCTATAGGGATTGTATAGAGATTGTATAGGGATACAAGGAAAACCTAAAATCTAAAATGTATTGACTACGGAAAATTCTTTATCAAACATTATTTTAACAAGAGAAAGACATTACAGTGATATTGACTTAACATTTACAGAGATAATGATATCGTAGTTTTTGTTTTTTTTATTTTAATTTAAGAATTTAGCCAACAACCCCTGTTGAAGGTTAGTGTTGTTTGGTTAGTGCTACTGGTTTGTCGTTGTGGTTTTGCCTTCACAAGTGTTTCTGATACACTAAAGTTGCTGTTCGTATGAAGACATAATAAGTGCCCCCTCGATTAAGCGCCCTCCTTCCATTTACGGCGCCCATCCTTTTAGCTGCAATTGAAGAAAGCGCCCAGGCGCTTAATAATATTCGAGGAAATACCGTCCGTAAATCCTCTATTAAGCCCCCCCGGGGGACTTATTTTTTTCAAGCACTTTTGATGGGGGGCTTAATAGAGAGGGGGGCTTATTTAATTTAGCGAAACGCATCACCTGTAGCAAAAATACCGTGGTATGAGACAGAGTAGACTTACGCATTGTACAATTAAAGTCACCGTCAAAAGTATTTAATTCACTTGTGGGAGCCTAAAAGAGAGGGGGGCTTATTAACTTTCCTGCTCTGAAAAGGGGGGGGGAGTCTTATTTGAGAGGGGGGGCTTAATAGAGGATTTACGGTATGTGAAATTTTCCACCATTTTCTCCAGCTTTACCAAAACAACTTAGCTCTGGCTAACGCAACCTTGACCAAACCCGCACGTTTATATTTCGGATTCACGCATCTGCGTGTACACAATAAAACGAATTCGGTACCAAAACTTATCCAGATTCCTCACGAATCCGGAAAAATCAGCGCTACTGTAAATAGCACTGTCTAGCCTTTTTCTATGATAGGCAATTAACGTGTATCAGTCAACGGACCCCAAACTGCGACAGAGTATTTTACAACTTACTAACACGTCATTTCATTAATACTAAAAACCCTTAAAGGTTTACCAAATCAAGGGGGACTTTGGGTGGAGGTGGCATTGGAAGCAATTCGGAGAACTGTTCGTACCTCCGAAAATGAATCCCAGGGGCGTATGTAGCCAGCTGGATTGTTTTCAGAGTCTGAAAAACTCCTGAAAATATACGAAGGGGTGAATGGGGTGGAAGCTATGACCGCTGACGGTTAATTTTTTTTTTCAATTTTGACGGTTGAAGGTTAAATTTTAGAGCTTTTTACCGTTGACGGTTCTTAAGTAGAAATTTAGTCTAAGTTTAACTAAACATTTCTGTATAAAATTAATAACAACATTTATGTCTCGGAGGTTTTCTTAAGCCTTTCGCTTTCTAGAAATATTTCGAAATATTTCTAGATGTAAGCGAGTTGTAAACTCAGTGTCCGCCTGTTTATTTCATGGCTATAGGATTTAAGTGTTTTACCCTTAGAAATTAAAAAAATCTTTCACGCGGACTTTATACGGATACTGTCACTGCTGGTGTGAATTATCGAGTTCTAAGGAAATGAGTTCTATGTCCCTGAAGGAATGGCTTTGAACAATGAAATGTTCTGAAACGGCGGCGGGCTGGTTCAGGTGATGGTGATTTAAGGCTTTTTCGATAGCGCGACTGTGCTCTCCAAATTTCAGTACAACATGATTCATATGACCATGACGATCATGCAACCTAGCAACGAACTATATAACACTAAATCCTATGAAGCTCAAGATGCAAATAAACTTTCAACATCTTGTCAGGATCGAGGATGAGGATCGTCGCGTGAGCTCTGTAAACTTTACAGGTCAACACGCTTGCGTGGAATAGGCCATTTCCAGGTGGTCCTGAACCTCCGTTTCAAAGCGAGGCTAAGTACAAAGCCACTGATATGGAAATGATTTTTATTCCAACTGGTGCAAAAGAAACTTATTATCACAAGAAAGGTTTTGCATCTTAAGCCTCGTTTTGAAAGTGAGAGTTTTTGGAACTCGCAAATGGCCTACTCTAAGTGGAGGACAGATAACCTCGCAGGGGCAATGAGGTCATGCTCGTTGGCATAATTGCATTTGGAGAGTTAGTCGCTTACTGGAGCCCCAGTTTACATCTTACGGTTGAATTTTGCAAGCCTTTTACTCTCTCCCATATTTATGATCATTCAAGGGGCTAAACAAACGAAAGATCGAAAAATGATGAAAGGAGGGATTAGTTTGTTTCAATTTTGAGTAGATAAAGTAGATTGGATACTAGCGGGATTGAGAAGCTAATATAAACCACCCTATCACCCTCCCGTGGCCAATCTATTTTATTAAAGCAGCTGATAAAACCAAAATTCTCCGTTCCACTCTTCCCACCCTCTCCCCCCCCCCCCCCCCCCCCCCCCCCCCCCCCCCCCCCTTTCCCTTCTTCGCCACCTTTTCTGTCACTTGCGTCCAGTACTCTCGCTAAAAACCTCACGTGAGAAATGGCGACTGCAAAACAACTCTTTTGGCAGAACTAGATAACCATCCAGTTTCTAACACAAGAATTACACTTAAAAAGGTCTTCTCTTGCGTGCTCATTTATAGCTAAAGTTGACAAAGTAGCCTACTATAGATAATAGCATGTCTTGTAATGTTCTGGATTCTTATTTCATAATTTTATAAAATCTTCAAAACCAATATTCCACCGAACTAACAATTTAATTTCCTACCTGGATGGCCCAAAGTTACCAAAAATAAACTCGAGGCTAATAGCATCGTCGACGGATGGATTCAGTGAATTAAAATTCGGCCATTACGCAGGGACACTGCAAGACTTTATCGCTGTAGTTTTGAGCAACACTATGGTGTATGTTCTACATTTCTACTCAAAACAGCACGACACAAATTAACAAAATACCTAAGAATACAAAGTCCGAACTAAAATTGAAAATAGTGAACTTACCTTAGAAGTGAAAAAAAAAAAAAAAATCTTCCACAGCTTCTGCCTGCATATAACAGGCTGCATTATTGAGTCATCGAGCGAAGTGGACAGACCCAAACAACGTGCGTCTTTATGCAATATTTTAGCCTGTGCACCTTTAGCCTTAATCATATTCGTAAATTATTTCATTTTCACACCTTTTCTTTTGTTATTCAACAACCTCTATTTAACGTACAGCCCCTTGAATATTCAACAAACTGAAAGCTAGTCCTAACGTAGCAGAGAAGAGCGGGGCTGATGAATTGACTTCATAACTATTTAAAATTAGAAATTTATGTGGTATAAGTCCCTCGTCTGAGGGATTTTTACAAATAAATCCCCCGACTGAGGGATTTTATACAAACAAACCCAAAAACGAAAAAAAATCGGAAATTAATTCCCATGAAAAGTTCTCGCTGCAATTAATTGCAACTCAACTTTGCTGTTTCTGACGACATAAACTTCCTCCTCTACACCAATTTTGACTTCAACGACGAACTTGCTGAGCCAATAATTAAGTTCGTCCTTGTCAGTGATATTCAAAATCTGTGGATTGACTTGGGGAAATGCCTCACTGTCTCCGTTCTCGGTATTTATCTCTTACTTACAGATCACGCGATAACTCTAGAAAGAAAATCAAGATTATTGTCGTTGTTGTTTTTTTTCAGTTGTACTTTAGCCTGATCGTTAAATACGTGACCTAACTTTACCACGAAAGAGAACTAACCAATAATACAAAAACACAGCCCGGAAGTCGAGTCAGGCCAGGCTACTT